GATATATGCCTTACGCCACAAACACTCCCAATACCTATTACTTTACCTTGATGAGTGGAACACTGATCCCTCCCTCCTCTCTCTCTCTCTTTAACCACGGCTCTCGTGACCCCGGTTACAGAGACTACCGCTAGAATCCCCGCGCTTGTGCAATAACCTCACCCCTTCACCAACACCCAATTTTCCTGCCTTATGCCCGTGCTTTTTGGCTTAGATGAACCTAGTCCGCTAGGTATTAAGCCTCTTGCTCTAATCTCTCTCACTCTCTTGATTACTGGAATGGTGTTGTATCCGCTGCACGCGGCTGCAATCTTACATATTCATTCCTAAAAGGAGGTTGTAGTGGGTTCAAGTATCACAAAAAAAAAAAAAATTTCTGATACATACTTTAAATTCTTGGTTTATATTTTTTTGATATACTTATATTTGTGTAGCGAAGCACTAGGTGGATTACACTGTTTGGGGTGTACATAAAACAGAACAAAATCCATATCAGATGAGAAAATGAAAATCCAAATTTTGTTATTTCATTTCTCATTTATTCACTATTATATTCACTATTATTTTAATGATAGTTTTTTAATATTAATAAAACTATGTCCTTCGAAAATATCGTTCAATACACTTCAATCAATATATGCCTATTTTTAAATTATATGTTGCAATGTACATTTATATTTACAAAATATATAAAATGTGACTATAATATATGATGATTTAATAACTTTTTATCATGAAACACAGACAACTTTTAAAAATACGTATCTTTAAAAAATCAGAGTAATTTTAAAAATATTATAAAATTATATAAATTGCTATATATATATAGAAAATTGTGAACTTAAATAGGTGCATATATTAAATGAAAAAAATTTATATGTAACATAACTTTTTATCTTGTGTGAGTAATTAGTCAATCTTTTTGTTGTCACATTCAGTATCATTGGCTTTTGAATCCATTTCTGAACTGGCAATTTCATTATTTTTATCAGTCCTGGCATTTTGAGTTTTAATATCATTTTCACTCATACTATTCTGTTGATTAAAAATAAAAAAATCAGTCGTTAATAATAATTATTTATATATTTCTGTATATTTTTACCCTCATCATTTTACGAAGTTTCATTGATTTTCCCATGCTTTGTAGGCGGTAACGTTCTTTTGCACGTTCACGTATTTTTTGAGGCACGACTAATAAGGTAGTCATTATATTTCCAGTGAAAAGCAACAAAAAGAGGCCACACATAACAGAAACCTGAAGTAGGATAAAATAAATTAGCTTTTGAATAAGAGTAACAGTGTTCTTGCATACATGCCACGGTGCATCAATTGGTTCTTTAGATAACTTATATAGAGTGTATGCATTGTAAGCTTGGAAAGCATAACCAAGGAAAAGAAATGGTATAAGAAAACTTAAACCACGCCACATCCATGAATGAAATCCTTCTATGGTAATGTCCATATTGTGCCGTTCTCCCAATGCCTTCAAACGATACAATAGACCTTTCTGGTAACCGAATTGTAAATACTGAACCATGCCTGTAAAACACGCAATATAATATTGCAAAATACGTACCTATATCACACCTACTCATACTTTTTATGAGTATATACTTACTAATATATGCGTTGAAGTACATAAATTGTGTGCGGAACAATTGCCAATGTTCTCCTTGTGGCCAAACAAGTAAAACACCTGCCGCTACTGTAGAAATGAAATGATGCGCTCGCCACCAACCTTTTATTCTTGATCCATTTACTTTTAAAATTGATTCTCTTATAGTCAAAGTACAATAATACCATACCAAAAGGAAAATATATGCCAACTCAAGTGCCCTAAAGTGTTATCAATATTTTTGAAATATATATTAAATATGTGATTATATTTATTATATTAATTAAGCTTATTAAAAATTTAGCAATTTTAATATTATTTAAAAACCATTTACTTATTCTATACAAATGCTTTGACTGCTAAACACATTTTCCACGCACCGTTAGCGTTTGGATTATTGATTGTTCAATTTCAATCATTAGTTTCAGGCCTTCTAAATTCTTTTAGGAAGGTTTATGTAGTGAGAGTTTAAATTCAACACAGATATTTTAAAAAACTTTATATCTCACTCAACAATACATTTGAAAGACAAATTAAAAACATGAACAACTATTCCGTTTAATTCCTTGATTCCTTGAGAATACTTATAGACAACTATATTTCTAATAAAAGCGACATTTTGATTTGTTTTTATTGAATATATTAATTGTTATTTAGCAGAATTTTGATAAACGTCTTAAAATTTTAGAAGCTCCTGTATCTTACATTGCTCAGAATCTTCAGGCTAGTAAAAATAATACTTTTCTTAAACAAATTAAAATTATTTAAACAAAATGTATGTTACTTTTACATGATTGATATGTGGTGTCATCGCGACAATTCACTTATAAATTTAATTTTTTATTTCTATCTCCTAAAACGAAGGTGCCTAATATTTACAAAATAACGGCAAATATTCTTTAGATTACCATATCTTAACTTACATATATTTTACGGAATCAATGATATAGATTTATCTTACCTGTAGTTAAATATTAAATTAAGGAATGCCATCAACAGTCCTATTACGTTGAGTATTAGTTTAAACTTTTCGTAGTCATCTTTATAGCGTACTTTGTCATTTCTGTTTAGAATAGATACATTAACATCACCAAGAATAATCTGTAATTTCATAAAAGCTTTTAAACATATTCCAGTGGCTATAAGTAAATTTAAAATAGGGGTCTACGGTACTAAAGTGAATTAATGTTAGTTATTTTTTTAACTAACAAAATTACTGAGAATTATTCTCTCTTCTTTAACTTCAATTATTTTAAATATTTATATTTATTCACACAGTCGTACATAAATTGTGTTAATATGTAGCTACCTTAATATAGTTCTAATGTATTAATTTGATATATTTTCAATTTTTCATTTAACAATAAATTTATCCTATTTTAGTAACATAAAAACTTAATATAATAAATAATATAAAATGACATGCTTGCATTGCTCGAGAAGATTGCTAACAAAATTTAATGAAAAAAAAAACACGTTAATTTTTTATTATTTTATTGGATATACTTCATTTTAATATGTTAAAGCCTAGTAGGTAGCATCAGATAAGTAAAGATAGAATGAAAAACGTCTTTGACGTTTATATCTTTCGTATATTGAAAGCTATGACTTTCAATATACGGCGCAACATTGATAACACAGATCAATATTGTTCATTTTTGAAAGTAGAACTATTAAATTAAAAAAATAATTTCTTTGAGAACTAAACGTCAAAACAAAAAAAAAACTGATTTAAATTTATTTAGAAATGATTTTTTTATTCTAAGAACTCTTTGTGCTGAATAAAGAAACGATTTTTCTTATATTGTACTTACTCTTAAATAAAGTCCAGATTTTGCAGGAAGAGATTGCTCTATTTCATATAGCTGAGCTTTCCTCTTTAATGTATTTTTTTGAAGTTCGGAAACTTTTTCTTTTTCTTCAGGTTTTTTGAATCTTAAGAAAGCCAGTCAAAAGAAAATTATTTATTATAATTATTTTAAAATGTACACAATAAATTCATATATTAAAAAGCATATCCATACATTATATAAGACTTTTGTTTTATGGTAAATACCATGCGCTTTTTAATAATGTTTTTGGGTTTCTGATTAAATTGATTTACTTGCTTATTGAGTTATTTTATAATCCTAAAATCAAAAATATACGATTATAATTAATAAGTTAAACTTAATTTTGTAACTTAATTCTATTATTTTTTTTTTTAAATTTGTTATCCAAAATATTTTATTCTTTTATTTGTGACCAAAAATATAATATAATAATTTATTAGCGGGGTAATTGATAATTTAAATAGAAATAAAAATACTATAATTTATTTTTATATTTTAAAACAGATTAAATTTTATTAAAATATTTTTCTGATATTTCGACTATCTTCGATAGTCATCTCTTTTTAAATATAAATAATAAATTATAGTTAGCGGGCTACTAATAAATTATTATATAAATTTATTATCAAAATATCATATACCATACTAATTATTCTTATTGTGATCTTATTTTATAAGAATAATCAGACTTATTAAAATAAGGTTCTACTGTGTGTCGTTTTCCATTTAGTTTTGTACTATTTCTAATAGAGAATATCAACAGAAAAAGGATAATTTAAATTACTAAATAAAAATACAGTTCCACATACATTAAATAACATTCATCATTACTGGACTTATCTAGAGAAAAACAAAATAGTAGAAATAGAATTGTCTCTCAAATTATAAATCAAATATATGTACGTATTTTTAAATAGATTAGATTGAACAGATACTGTAGAAAACGATACAATGTACACATCCTTTCTATTTTTAAATATTCTTAATCGCATTGATTTTAAATCTTAATCTCATTGACTCTAAGTACAGATAAAGAAAAACACTTAAAAGAGTTTTAAAATATCGATTTAGTTTTAACCATAATTTTAAAATATATGGTTTTACAAACATATTTATATCTGTTGAAGAATAATTTGGATGTATTACGTATAATCGGCATATACATATATATATATATACATATATATATATTTGTAAAGTAAATTAATTCAAATTCATATGCAAAAGTTCATATGAAGAACACTTATTCCTGAAATTATTAAGCAAATGTACAAAAGTTAAAGTACATTTTTAACGTAAATATTTTTTGATAAGGAAAACGCAAAGAGTTAAATTACCTTAAAAATTATATAGATATTTCATTTAGTTTTTGTAAATTGATAAAAAAAACAACTGATTAGCAGTGGTAATGACAGCAACAATTTATGTATAGGTTCGGTATCTATGCTGACCAGAAATAAACAATTTATCAACGAGTGTTAACAATTTTATCCATTAGATTGCAGTTTTTTATTGAATTTGAACTTTTGTACTTTGTAATAAAAAAGGTATGAAATAAAGCGAATTACAAAATAAGAAATTAAAGAAAATAAAAGTCCAAATTTGAAAATCAACACTACTTACTGTTTCAAAGATGCATTTATTTGGTTTATTCGATAACGTTGATGTTTAATTTCATTAAAGCATTTCTGTTGATGACTATATAATTGTTCCAATAACTCAATATATTTACGATTGCAGTTCTGAAAATAAGAAGTATAGATTATGAATAGATTATATGAATATGTTTTACTAATCACTCTCACTAGTGAAAAATGTTTAATACAAATTTATTATTTGTGCTTTATTAGAAAAATAGTTAAAATAAATATCGTAATTTTACACTTCCGTATTTTACTATAGCTGTTGTATTACCTCAAGCTCCACGAACTCCTTGCCAAGCTCGTCCCACTCATTGCTGAGTGCGTCAATACTCATTCTACTTTTAATTACTTTATTAAAAACGAAAGCAATTAATTATGAATATTTAAAAATGGTATAATTTGTTTAAAGCAATTTGTATTTTATATACGCGTTTATTGAAAATGAAAAATCAATTTTTACACAAAACGAACCTTACGCGCTACGCACAAAATTTGGAAGTAGGTATAACTATATTTTTTTGATGTTCACTTGTTGCTTAATTGATGGCGATTAGTTTTACCATTTTATAGAACGAATAGCGTAACAACAATATGATTAAAGTTTTAAAAAAGCTTTAAAATTTTCCCTTGTTTGCTGACACTGCCACGTTTTTATCAAATAATTTTATAAGACAACTTTGACTTCATAACAACAGTGTGTTGTTTAAATTACCCAGATGATATCAAATATCATAATAGTGTTAAATCGGTGTTAGATTTCTTTCTACTACATTATACTAATTCTTAAAGAATTTCATTAACGTCACAAACACAACGCGCGTTTCATTTGTTTTTTATATACAATACAATTTGTCAAACTCCTCTTCTTTTGAAATTCACAATTCACAATAGAGCCTGTGATTATAAAATAATTTAACATTTATACATATATATATGTTATTTTCTAAATACTATTATTGCGGATATGTACATCATATTAACATTTCAGTTTCCGAATTAATTGAAAAAATTATAGATACGTTTTGTGAAGGAAGATGAATATTTATGATTAGATAATATTAGCCGTTATTTTTTCTTTCAGAAAAGCAAAAAAATACTCACAAGTGAAGCAACAACAATGCTCTTAAAATCTACAGACTTAGGTTTTAGTGGTAAAAAAATTTTGCGTCTTAAGTTTTAGTGCAGCCAAATTCAAAAGAGAGTATATTGTGAGTGTTCATTGGAAATATGTTGCAAATTTTCATCCATCCGTTAAAATCATGTGAGCATTTCATTTACTAATAAACTCATATACATAAATAAATTAAATAAAAAATATAAGCTAGAAATGCTAACCATTGCGGTTCTAATATTTATTTTGCTTTCTTTTAATTAAATTAATAAATTTTTAGTGTTTACAATTTTATATTTCATATTGTACACAACACAATAAAAATCATAAATATGACAAAAACAAGTATTTCGAATATTCTGAAATTGATGGCAATTTGTTTCAACCAGACTTAAATTTGTTTTTTACAACTCTGAAAGAAAATATTATGGCTATAATTTGACCATAGTATAAGTACATAATTGTAAATTATATTTTAACTTTGGTTATTTAATTTTTGTTTCTTTTATATGTATTAAGAAATAATCACAATATGGCTACACGAGAGTAATATTTAGAATTATGACTTGATTTCGTATAAATTATAATTTAATTGCAATTTTGTTAGGTAAATTTTTATATGGAATCGGATAGCAATTTCAACTTGATTTTACTGCAAAGTGAATCGAACAAGCTGAATGAACAATATTACTTTCAGTATTAGAATTACTTATGATGTGTGAATAGACTATATGATATCAATTGAGGGAAGACTGAAATATAATCAACTACAAAAAACAAAACAATTTACTTTACAATGTTTTTTAGTTATAAGTTAACCGTACAGAAAAATATTTCCAAGCAAAGATCCTTATTAACTTTACATAAGAATAGGGCTGTTGTATATACCAAATACCAAATATATAGATATTAAAAGTTCCACAAAACTTGGCATTCTGCCCTTTCATTCAAAAAGTTGAAAAAAGATGTCTTTCTTTCATTTATCATGAGTAATACCAATAAAAATTTACAAGAGTCACAGTACCATTTTCTACTGACAGTACTTGTAATAGTTTATATGTTAAGATAATCTATTCTTATATGTACTACTGCTAAATAATAAATTCATGTAAATAATTATTTTTTATGGAAAATTAAATATTTCACCTATCTAATACTAACACCGATCAGCAACAACCATCCTTCACGACAACCATAAAAATAGAACCCAACAAGTGAGGACGATTAGCCACAATAGCCATCATATATAACGATGGGCAATACTAACGGTCAGTAATAATAACTTGGTCACTAACTATTTAATCGCTTTTGAACTGTTCTCGTACGAGAGCGATGTAGATAGATATCAATCATATGACAGAAAATCTATATCCACTCGCAAATCTTTATAAATAAAAATAAACAAAAGATAAATATTTTTTGATTAAAGTCAACAATTTTTTTAATATATTAAGCGATTAGTAGAATAAAATATAAACATTGCTAAAATTTAATTAAATTTGTTTTTACAATAAATTTGGTGCTTAATTTTTGGAATTAATGTAATTAAATCGTATGTAAGTTTATTTTAATATTATAGGTAGTAGGTTTTATTCTTTGCGTCTTGTTCGTAATTTTAAAGCAGCATACGCAGATATCCTAAATATAATAATAAGCGCTATTAATCCCATATAATCGTATATAAAATCATTTATCGAAAAGTTTAGTGTTTCTAATATAACTTTTCCAGAACTGGGGCAAGTTGTATTCGATGAGGTACATGTAATTTCACCAGCTTCTACATCAGACCACTGATTAATTAGAAGCCCTTCATTTGCATAACGAAACCATGATAGATATGATAACCATTTGAAGTATATTGGCACTGAAGCAGAATTTAAAAAAAATCCACCAAAGAGAAGAAATGGGATAATTACTGGAGGTCCGATGGATAATGCCATTGATGTTGATGAACTGCCACAGGATATTAAATAGCCAAAACTAGTTGAAACATTTGCAACAAGAGTAACTAATGCTAGAGCATGTAGATAATGAAAAATACCAGCACGTAATCCTATCATTGGATAAGCAATAGATGTGAAAACAAATGGTACAGTTAAAAAAAGTGGTAGCTCAGCAATAGTTTTTCCAAGAAAATATGTACTACATCTGTAAAGGCGACTTCGCGCTTCCCGCATAAAAACTGGTAATTCTGATGTAAATACCTTAATTTAAGAAACTATTTAATGTTATACTATTATTAAATTTTATCTTATCAATTACCGTGATAGTAGCAAAAACATTTTGAAATGTCATATTTGTTAAAAATAAAAAAATCGCTCCATTTATATTCATTACACCCACTTGTGTCAATTGCTGACCTAGAAATATCAGACCTATAAGAACAGCTACCATCTGTAATGCAGTAGATTATAAATGTTTTTGGAAATGTTAAATGATATTTTATATATGCTTACTGTTGTTTGTATAAGACGAACTTTAACCAATAGAGGCTCTTTTAGAACGGATATCCAGGAACGCCAAAGTATGGCTCTAAATTGCATAAAACAAGATGCCTTATATGTAAAATCATTTCCATTAATAATCGGTTGGCCATTTGATTCAGCAGCCATTTTTTTAAAGCTCTGCTCCATACCACGGGACACTCTATAGTAAAAAAAAATATTAAAACCAATAAGAAGTTTTCTTTAGTGTTCTTGATTATAATTTTTATAAATAAAGTACTATATTTTTAAAATATTTGCATTATATTTGATAATATTGGAAAACCTTGCATATAAATATTTTGGCGTTATGATTTTAAATTTACCTTCCTACTGCAAAGTTATCGCAAATTTTTACAATACGTTCACGTGATTCCTGTTCTTTTCCGGGTACAACTGCCAAAATTTGGACATAGAAATCTGCAGGATTATAGTTTGCAGGACACTGTGCGCCAATACTAAAAATTGCGAATATTAAGCTCTTTTCAAAATTGCATTTTTTTGGAGCATACTATGAAAAAAAATCAACTGCCTCTAAAGGAGTGCCCAGAAAGGCTACTCTTCCTTCAGCCATAAGCAATATTTTATCAAAAAGTTCGAACAACTCTGATGATGGTTGATGGATTGTCAATATAACAGTCTTTCCTTTTTCCGAAAGCTTTTTCAAAACCTGCACAACACTGTGTGCCATGAAAGAATCAAGACCTGAAGTGGGTTCATCACATATAAGCAGTGGAGGATCCGTTAGTGCTTCAGACGCGAATGCTAGGCGCTTACGTTCGCCACCCGACAATCCTTTCACACGACCAGGTACGCCAATAATAGTGTTTTGGCATTTACCTAATGAGAGATCTTGTATTACCTGATCGACACGCTCTACTTTCTGGCGGTATGTTAAAGTTCCAGGCATTCGTACCATAGCATGAAATATTAGGTGTTCTCTGGCTGTTAAAGACCCTATGAATAAATCATCCTGCTGCACATAAGCACAACGAGTTTGCATTTCTTTAGCATCTACCAAATGCCCATTTAGCATTCGCATGGCTGAAGTTGATATTTGAACACCTTGTGAAGAGCGAAAGGCCAACGAATTGAGCAACGTTGTTTTTCCAGCTCCAGAACTTCCCATTATTGCCAACAATTCACCAGGATAAGCAACCCCACTTACTTTAGATAAAAAATAAATATTATTAGACCTGAACATTTTATTTTTAATTTTACCATTCTTCAATAAGTGCTTTCTGGGCGCGGGTATGTGACGTTCTTTACATATGGATACTTTAATTCGATTTGCCATTTGTTTCCATGTTGATCCTGGCAAATGAATGGCTCCAAATACATCAAGGTTATACCAAGAGTAAGTTAAATTATCAGAAACGTTCGTATTAGGAACCACTGTTCCATAGCTTTTATTAAAGTCCTTATTAAGTGAGGATTGCTCAAAGGAGCCAGAATTCTGTTTGATATTAAAACAAAAAGGATTTATTCTTTTCTACTCGATTGCATAATTTAATATTTCATATTGAAAGTTAAAAATTCAAAGGCTTAAGATCTAAACTACTCGTTTCTTAAGGAAATTAACCGATTGGTGAGAAATTGTCATCTACAAGAGATTTTTCAGGGCCAATATACTTTGTGTAGCTATTATTGAAGTTCATTAAAAACGAGATTCCTCTTCCTATTAGATGTCATACTGTATAATAAATGATTCATAAAAACGTATTGTTTAAGATTAAGATACAGAATATATCTATGCTCAATTGGTGTTTTTGCTTTAAGATTGCTTGAAATTTTTGTGAATTATAGCTACCACTAACATCTAATTTACTATATTTATTAAAAAAACGATGGAAACACTATGAATGTATTTCTAGTTTATAAGGAAATGTATACAGAATTCTTAAATAAACTCAAATTACGAATAACATTATATTTTATGAAAAAGCTAAATACCGTATATATTAGTGAAATTTGAATATATGTGTGTGATTTCTTCTTATTTACTTTTTTCATTTAACGGATATTAAATTATTTTACTTTGTTAATTTTTTATTACAAAAAAGGGATTTAAAGGGACATTAGGACCGCCCACTTTTTGAAACGTTTTTATGGTTATTTTACATTATATTTCATCTATAAAAGTGGCTAAAGATAATTTTAAAATATTTTTTATTACATTTCTTGAATATTTGTTGTTTGATATTTACTCAATCAATGTTCTTTGGTTTTTATTTAAATTTGTT